GGCGAACGTGGGACAAAAGTAATTGTCAAGATGGTCTACGATCGTGGAGATCCGCAGCAGCTGTTTGAGAACCACCTACCAGTGCCGGAGAAGAAATATACCAGCGAAAAGGTGCAGCTTCCTGCAGCTCATGAGATCCCCAACATCGATCTGCAGGTCGTCAATTACCACCGACCTATCTTCGGGACCTTTCACGCCAAGTTCATGGTAATCGATCGGCGAATTGGACTGCTGCAGAGCAGTAACGTGCAGGATAACGACAACCTGGAGATGATGATTCATGTCGAGGGACCCATTGTGGATGGGTTGTATGATACGGCGTTGATTTCGTGGGGTCGTTCTCTCGAACCCCCACTGCCCATGCTGGACTCGCCCGCCACGGGGGCTCCGATCCCTTGTCACGCCTCGCAGCAGCCAGACTATGATGCTCCAGACCCGGGGCCTCTCCCAGAACTTACTGTCGACGAACATCACTATGACCCGGATATTCGGGCTGAGGCCCAGCGCATGAACGGTTTGCTGTTACCACGGGAGGGAGAGACTAGAACGCAGGCTGTGACTCGTCGCTTAAGTATGCATGCACCGCAACCACTAGCGTTACAGATCCATGCAGGGCCAGAAAAGAAACTAATCTCTAATGAATAGATACCACGATCCAAACTGACATGTCTGCCGACGCCCCCGAAAGCGACCAAGAACTCATCATGCAGCCCTACGTCGTCCTCCCACCACACGATCCCTTCCCCATGGCCGTCATCAACCGGGAACCCTGGGGCGCCCCCAACCACAGCAGCATCCACACACCACAAAACAGCAGCTTTCTCGCAGCAATCAACAACGCGCAAGAATCCATCTTCATTCAAACGCCCAACATGAACGCCGAGCCCATCGTCCAGGCTCTGATCGAGGCCGTCAAAACCCGCGACGTCACCGTCACATGCTACTTGTGTCTGGGGTACAACGACGCCGGCGAATTACTGCCGTTCCAGAATGGGACGAACGAGATGGTTGCGCATCGAATGTACAAGGCGCTAGATACAGACGAGCAGCGATTCCGTCTGCGGATTTTTAATTATGTGGCGAAGGATCAAGTCCGGCCAATTCATAATAAGTTTAAGCGGAGGAGTTGTCATATTAAGCTGATGATTGTTGATGAGAAGGTTGCTATTCAAGGTATCTCCCACTCTACACTCCATATAAAGTGATGTGAAATCTGACAAGATGCAGGTAATGGAAACCTCGACACCCAATCCTTCTACCACAGCCAGGAGGTAAACCTCCTGCTGGACTCCCCACTTGTCTGCCGTGCCTGGCGTGAAGCCATCGATCGGAACCAAAACACGGCGTACTACGGCGGCGTCAGCCCAGAAGACGGCTGCTGGCATGATCCAACGACCAATGATCTCCCCGTGGGATCGATTGGCGTTGACCCGGGACACTTTAGCTGGGCACGGGGAGCAGTAGGAGCGGTGCAGAGGGTCAGAGGGGCGGGTGGTTTTTAGTATAGTTATATACTTGTTTGGCCTTTTGGATGATTTTGCCCATTATCTACTAGCGATATGTTGGACATGTACGACTATAGCATAGTGTTAGCTTGTTTGGATAGTAGTCATACAGTTGGATAAATACTATACCTTCCCTAGATCCATATTCCGTCCCCAGTAAGTTCTATCATTACTTAGCATCATAACCACCACCCAAAATGAATGAACCCAAGCAACCACAAGAACCAGTATACGACCTCCCCCTCCGCGACATAACAACCTACACCCACTCCCCCACCACTTCTACCATCCACCCCACCGCAGCCCGAACCGCCCTCCTCGACGCCCTCTCCTGCGCCATCGAAACCGCCTCGAAATCCCCCTCCGCACGAGCCCTCCTCGGCCCCATCATCCCCAGCACCACCGTCCCCCATGGATTCCCAGTCCCGGGTACCTCTCACACCGTAGACCCAGTAAAGGGTACCTTCGACCTAGGCGTCCTAATCCGCTACCTGGACCACAACGATGCGAGTTGGGGGATGGAATGGGGTCATCCTTCTGGTAGATACTTCCCTTACCTCTTGTTCCTCACCCCCAGTTACCTAAATGAACAGACAACATCGCCGCCCTCCTCGCGACAGCAGACTACCTAAGCCGCCACCCCAAATATTTCAATGAACCGAAACCAACAATCTCCACCCTGCTCTCTGCAATAACCAAATCCTACGAGATCCAAACACACTACCAAGCGCTCAACGCCTTCCACGCACACAACCTCGACCACGTCATTCTCGTCGAGTTGGCCTCGGCGGCAGTTTGCTCGTGGATGATGGGCCATTCTGCTACACAGACGCAGAGTATTCTATCCCATGTGTGGATGGACGCGGGACCGAGTCGTCTGTATCGTACACATCCGTGCACTGTGCCTCGCAAGGGATGGGCGGCTGCTGATGCGGCGGCGAGGGCGGTTGCGTTGGTGTTCAGGGCGGATAGGGAGGGGAGTGAGGAGGCGATGAGGGGTGTGGGGAGTGTATTGAGGCATAAGGGGGGCGGGTTCAGGGATGGGAGGTTTGGGGGGAGGGAGTTTGAGTTTGTAGGTAAGCTTGGGGAAATGGAAAGGAGGGGGGTGGAAGGGGTGATGTATAAGATTATGCCGGTGGAGGGGCATGGGTGTGCGGCTGTGGAGGCGGTTTTGGGACAGATGGTGAAAGAGCCGGGGGTGGTGTGGGAGGATGTGGAGGAGGTGGTGGTGAGGGTACCTTGGGCGGCGAAATATATTATTTCTAGGGCGGGGAGGGATGAGTTGAAGTGTGCGGCGGAGAGGGATCATTGTTTGGAGTGGGTTGTTGCGGTTGCGATGGTCAAGGGGAGGGCGATTGAGGTGGAGGATTATGAGGATGAGGGGGGCTGGGTGGGGGATGAGAGGGTGGAGGAGTTGAGAGGGAGGATTGTGGTGAAGGAGGATGAGGAGCTGACGAGGGATTATTTGGATATTGGGAAGAGGAGTATTGCTGCTGGGGTGGTGGTGAGGTTGAAGGATGGGCGGGTGTTGGAGGAGGTGTTGGTGGAGTTTCCGGTTGGGCATGTGAGGAATCCGAGGACGGGGGAGGAGGTTAGGAGGAAGTTTGTGAGGAATATGCGGTTGATGTTTACGGAGGAGGAGGTTCAGAGGATTTTGGAGGTGGTGGAGAGGGATGATGCTAGGGTTTGTGAGTTGGTGGATTTGCTTGCGATGTCAGACACACATCTATGAGCAGTAGATGAGATTTTGGGATGGGGAATGAGAAATAGTAAGTGGTATTAGATTGGTTCCGGCCCTCGTTAGATTAGTGGTATATCAATGTTGCGGTACACAAGATGGCATGGCCACTCCCTGGAGCGTCAAGTATACATCTGTTCCCCATCCCCATAAGCTCTGCACCGCAATGCTCCCTCCAAAATACTCTGCATATGCCCGGCTCAATGGCAGCCCATACCCCAGTCCGGCAATGCTGCTCAAATGGCCCCCGCTGCCGGATATCGTGTTCAGCGCGTCCATGCTGCCATTCTCCGACCCGTTCATACCATAGTCAGAGAAGGTAGTGAAGCTGTAGGACCAGATATTCGGCAGCACCTCCGGAGGGATACCTCCACCCCGGTCTCGGATGCGGATCGTGATGCTCTGCTGCGACGGCGACCAACACTTGATTGACTCGTTCGCATCCGCCGTTCCCACCACGGTGTCCATGTGAAATCCAGTATCCGAATCGGAGTGACTCCACTTCTCCTTCGCCTTCGGGTCATGTACCGGACTGGCAGGAACATCAGGTGCCGCCGCTATGGTCACCTCAATGGGCTCATTCCCATTCCCGGACTCAATAACCGCCCGGAAAGCATTTTTCAGCAACTCCGTAAGAATATACTCCACGTGGACCGGCACATGTGCGAAAGAAGCGTCCGGCTGTCCACCAATGTTCAACCGCGGACGGACCCCATACTTCAGCTCGCAGATCTCGCCCACAAAGTCCTCGCACGACTTGACTATGCGGGCGGGTTGCAGCGCGGTATCAATGACTCCGATGTAATTTGATGGTGCAGCATCCTTCGGTGTCTCTTGTTGTTCAGATGGATCGTCGCGGACCGGCTGCGAGGCAAAGTGCAGCGCCAAGTGTTGCTCTGCTATGAGCCGTGTGCCGATTCTGGCGCGCAGGTGCGTGTCCAGGAACCGTGTCACTTCAGTGGGATCGATGTATCGGCGACATTCGAGAAAGCCGCGGGCAAGAATGGGAATGGTGTTCGTATGCGTATGCACGAGATCGGCAAGTACTTCAGCGAATTGGTTCTCCTCTTCCAGCGTCGTGACCTGGCGTTGCTGATATGGCAGGAGGGTCGAGAGCGAGTGTAGGTAGTTGTTATAGATCTTGGAGACATGCGGATTCGATACGACGATGAAAGGGAGGTTGCGGAGAGCCTCGATACGAGACGCTAGGCGGGCCGGAAGAAGGGAGAGCGTGAAGTTGGCCGAGGCCAGGAGGGCATCTTTGCACAGGGGCGGACGCCCATGTCTATTCAAATTAGCAATTATCCCTATCTCGAGGAGTGTATAGCGCATGCTGCATACTTGAGCAGATCTGCTAGAGTCAATGGTCGGCGACGACTGGCGGCGAGACGGGCAACTTCATCATTGGCGCCGTAGGCAAACGCGTGCCGAGGGGATGTAGTCGTCTGCACGAGGGGTGACGAAGAAAAGGACCTTGCTGGAAAGGTTGCGAAACAATGATATCGAAGGCTAGCACCCCGAGACGCAGTCTGCAGGGCTCGTCTTACCGCCATGGTAGAAGTTGGCCATGGCGACTTGCAAGACACAGCAGTCGATGACCTCACAAGCCGGACTCCGTGGGGGATCCGTCTCACGTGCTGCCGCAGAACTCGCCAGTTGACTCACCCATACAAATCAATATTCACCAAGAATATATGAAATGTAGCCATTTGTGATGCAACGTAGTTATCTGCATGCACTCTTCAGCCACATTAACTGTATTTCTGTTAACCCCTGTCTGCATAGACATCATCGATCCTGCACTGCACCCAATGAAGTAGTGTGCACTGGTTGGTCCCTACTAGTCCGAGACCCCTCGGTCCCCTTATCAGGGCGTGAGATCGACCCCCGCAGGTGCCTAACTCTTACTTACTTCTTACTACTAGCCGCAGAGTATAAATAAACCCTCCCCTGTCCCACATCGGGCAACTCATCTTACATCTTTCATCAACATTTTTAGGTCAAAGGTTTACAGATTCTCTTCTCACTCAAGAACTACTTCTCTTTGTCAAAACAAATATACCGCCAACATGCCTCACCAGTACATGGTTCGTTTGTTATCCTGTCCCGTCCCACTCCCGTCCCTGGCTGAATGCTAACGAATTTCATGATTTGCAGGTCAGCCTCAAGAAGGAGTCTCCCCCTGAGGAGCTCGAGAAGTGAGATATACCACAGTTCACTCAGAAAAAGCTTGGGTCTAATACTTGTGTGTAGGGCCAAGAAGACCGCCACCGACAACGGAGGCAAGATCGTGAAGGAATTTGCTCTGGTCAAGGGTTTCGTGTATGAACATCTTCCCCACTGTCAAGCTTACTATCTTTTGCATACCCAACTAAATATTGATCAAAAAGTGTCCAATACGACGATGAGCAAGTCTCCACCCTCCAGTCCTCCGACCACATCCACGTCGAGAAAGACAGCGAAGTCTCGATCCAGTAAACAAAGGTTATTAGAAGAGAATTAGTCCGGCCGTATGACTACTTTGCGGGAGCTTAGATTACTTCTATGGTCTTATTTGTTATATTGAATGTATGAATTATGATACTATTTTCATGAAGAATTTTTGTATCCAGCCAACAAGCATGAGTAGTCTGTAGAAACTGAGGGGCGCGAGATTTGAAGCGGGTGATATGAAGAGCTCTACGTATCGTGTATATACTGCTAATGTTACACAACTGCCCCTCAAAAGTCTTACTTTTTCACTAACTGTGGATAAATGCAACTGGCATTTCCGGATTCGTCTTGAATAGCATTGTTCCATCCTGTGATTCCCTGCGGCAATGACGCACCCGATGACGTTATCCCGCGAGGGGCAGTCACGTGTTGTATACTATCAACAGCTTATGAATGACGTGGATGAAGATCTAAAGAAATATCTGGGTGGATCATAATAGTTTAGATGGGTTATCGATAAATCATACGATATGCTGTTATCTCACTACAGACTATGTGGTCATATATCTTTCAAGAACCCCACCTCAATCACCTTTTCGGCTCCCAGTCCCAAAGAAGCAATCTTCGCTCGGGTATTGTCCCGAATCCATAGGAAGATCTCCAGCACAAATCGCCTAAAAGTATTCGTACCCCTCTTGACTCTCATCTGCTCCTTGCCAGTAATGTAGAGCACGTTATGTGCGCAGGCCTTCTCCAGCAGTGCTACAGGATCGACCGGCCTCCCTCGGCTAGTGATCGTCCGGGACTCTTCAGCACTCGTCGAATCTTGACCTATATCCCGGCTCAGCTGACTTATGCTCGTGCTGGCTTCCGTCGGAGCAGTGGTATGTCTATGCTCGATTAAGTACTTGCGGACCTGGTCAGTGATGGTGCTAGCGAGGTCCGGGGAAATGATCTCGTCATTGTAGCCGTAGCGGACAACCAGACGGTAACAGTTTGGAATTGCAAGTTTCGAAACAGTGTAGCGATCATCGATAGGGACTGATGGAGTTTCGAGAGGTCGTAGATGAAAGAAGATGATCGTCTCAAACATTGTCGTGAGCTTCAGGATGAACTGGCTAAAGACGATGGGCGTGGTCTCTCCAGCTTTGTCAAAGAATATGCCCACACCCTGAGTGGTGCTCAGAGGTGCACCGTCAAACCGATCTGTAAGGCGAATGCTACCATCTTGATCTTTGGTCACGAAATGCGATGTGGGGAAGCGATCTTCTGCTTCAGCAAACCATTGCTGCTCCTTTCCAAATCGCCAGAGGAGAAAGAGCAGGGCGAGAATGGTGGCTACGGCGAGAGTGAACCATGCGCCAGTGGGGACTTTTGTTAGTGCTGAAGAAAGGTATGCCCCGTCGAAGCAAGCAATTGTAAGCCAGGGCAGGAAGACAAGGTAAGGACTCTTGCGCCATACAAACATTGCTACCATTGCAACCATGCATGTGTCGAAGAAGGTGACGAAGATGACACACACTCCGTATGCGTTTCCAAGAGATGTAGTCTGCTCTTCATTAGCGCACCCCAATGAGCATAAGATCGATTGACATACGTTGTTATAGATAGACGCCACAAGTATCGTCCCGATCATCAGTAGCCAGTTCGCAAGCGGTATGTAAAGCTGTCCATGGAATATATCGGATGTATGAACCACTTTGAATTGTGGGAGGTATGAGAGCTTCATCACTTGCGCTAGGAGCTAAACGGAGTTAGGCCAGTCATACCTTGAAAGCGAAGTTCATACCTGAAATGTAGCAGTGATAATTGCTTGCGATGCAACTATAGCTGCTAGAATGGCAATTACAAGCGCAGGATAAATGGTGCCTGGGGGAGCTGCATTGTAGAACGGATTCGAGTATGCTTCTGGATGCACACTGATGTATGCAGCCTGTCCGATATATGCCAGAAGTAGGCAGGGAAATGTATAGCATAACCAACTTATCTGGATCGCCCGACGACTAAAAGCACCAAGGTCGGCAAAAAGGGCTTCGACTCCGGTAAAGGCAAGCAAAGTACCACTGAGCATTCTCCATCCTGATTCTCCGTGTCGGATCAGAAATGTGAATGCATAACCGGGGTTGAAGGCGACAAAGACCCCGGCATCATATTTAGCAAGGTTATAGATTCCAAACGCGGCGTTGAATCCAAGCCAAATGATAACTATTGGGGCAAAGGCGAACGTAACCCGCGTGATACCAAGTGGCTGTAGCAAGAACAAGATGACCAAGATAGCATCCGTGACCCCGATGACAGTGCCTTTGGAAATGTTTGGAGAAACAACTTCAATTCCCTGGACGGCACCCAGCACGGATTGAGCGGGAGTGAGCAGGCCATCCGCGAGAACCATCGTAACGGCCAGTACTCCTACGACTTTCAGTAGGCGCTTCGCGAACTTGCTTGTTTCCAGGCTGTGTCTGGCAAATCTGCTGGAGCTCTCGAGATCAATTGACAGGTGTCTCTTCATCTGCACAAGGGATGCCTCTCGAGGATCTCGATGAGTGATATTCATCTGAGCTGGTCAATTTTATCCGGCACAGAGAGAGGTGTGTCTTACATAGCGACTGAGCAGAGAATATGTGCTGAATGTACCTCCCTCTCCATCGTTATCCGCGTGAAGGATAATGAAGATGTATTTTATGGTCACCATAATAGTAATACTCCAGATTATAATGGAGAGCACTCCAATAAGGTCTTGGCGAGACGGTGCCTCGGTGAACGTAGACGAAAAGACGTAGAGCGGGCTGGTTCCAATATCTCCGTATATGACACCGATTGACTGGTATGCGAGCCAAAGAAGCATTTTGCCAGAGAAATCCTGCTTGTTTTAGCCTGCGTGCTTCTGAACCCTGGAATCCTGTCAGACAGTACCTGTCTTTGCTTGAAGTCTGTAGGTCTGCGCAAGCCTGGGTCATCATCCTCGCCAATAGTACTCACAGTACTAATGGCTCGATCCAGATGATTGTTATTCCATGGGCGAATATTGTAGATCGAGTCTTGAGTCTGTTGAGATTTTTCTTTCACCGTCGCCAGTGATGGCAGTTCCTTCAAGGCCTCTGGGTCAGGGTCCATTTTAATGCGAGGCAAAGACAGACTCGTGAGAGTACTGGCAGTTAGCTAGCTTAAAGGTCGGGTCACGTCAGTTAAAGAGGTATGGGATGACGCAGAGCTATGTGCGATTCACCTTTATAGAAGCCACTGAACATTGTAGTACTTATATTGATGGTTCAGGCGGCAAGAATCGTAGATAAGCGTCAGCTTCTGAACAAATCCTCATCCCGCGTGCTCTTCTCACGCTTGTGGACACACATCGCAGCCATCGTATACGAGCCATCGAACGCCATCTAGCTATATCCTTATCTCGAAGAAAATAGGGATTGGATGATATCTCAAGAATGTTTTAGATAATGCACAGATAGCTATAGATAAAAGCTGCAAGCACCTTGAGAGGGATTTTTCTGGTCCAACCTCTAGGGTTCGGCCCAGAGAGTGCGGCATTTGTTAGCACCAATAGTTGCTCGGTGCATTCACGGCAAGTTCAATGCATCCCGCACCACATGGCGCTGATCATTCGCTCCGACTCGCTGATGCTGGAATGTCAAAAGGAATAAAGATAAGATTTTAGACCAAATCTGGTGTTTTCCGGAGGTGGTGACTTTAGCTCTCATGATCGTCGCTGTTTCATCCCATTCCTTGAGTTCGCCTCCACGCAACACATGGATCCAAGTGATTATCTCCTGTCATGATTGTCGAAGCACATTCAGGTTAGCGTTAATGTGCGTGTAGTTACAAAATAGATTTGTCATCTCACTTCTTGCTATTAAAGTACAAGTTAATGGGAAGTTCTCTTCAAGGAATGAGAGTGTCTCCATAAAACCAGCATCCTGCCTATTGTAATGTATCGTTCACTTGGATGAAGATTCATCCATAAAGAGGGGACCCCTTAATACAAATCCCTGTCGTCCATTTTGAAACCTGTCATAGCTGTTACTGTAGTTGTATCTGACAAAGAGCAGATTCCCCACGGACCCTTAGTACTACTACTACTACTACTACTACTACTACTACTACTACTACTACTACTACTACTACTACTACTACTACTACTACTACTACTACTACTACTACTACTACTACCACTACTACCACTGCTACATATGTTGGGACGCATCTCTCTATCTGCTCTCCAGATAGACGCGACACATCATTCTAAGTCGACCAGCAATTAGTGCCTTGGAGACCTACCTCAACAAACAAAAAGTCATCTTCAGCGCAAGATAATAAAAGCATTCTGAGTAGGACCCCTCAGACGACTTGTAAACCTCGGTATTGCCGGAAGTTGATGCTACTATATCAAAAGGTTTATTCGGATTGCTTTGGATAGCCATTCGGTTCGACGTGGTATGCGGACACTCTGGTCATTCATTGTATATTATACATCATATTATAGATCCTCCCCAACATTTACAGCCCAACATAACCAGATTCGTCATCCACCCTCTGTGGCATCTTCATACCGTGCATACCAGCATACTTGGGGCTTTGAGGCTCTTTCCAGTCATCAAGCACCTTGGAATCCGTCAACTTATACACTTCAACACCTAGGGGACGTGTGGTAGCCCCCATATCTGCCTTCTCCTCCCAGCCCCAGTTTGACAGATCACCTACGACTAAGAATTAGTATCTAATTTCCATGATTGCCAGATAAAACTCACCTCCAGGACATGCCGACAGTGCGCAGAGTACATCAACTTCAGCGAAGAACTCAAAGTACTCTCCCGGCTTTGCAGGAGAAGTCTCCATAAAGTACTTTCCTTCCTCATCGAGTCCCGTCACCTGGAAGACATTGAGCACGTCATGCACGTCAAGCTCTGTCAGACCATACGGAGCAACAGCACGGGTCAGGTTAGAGTGGCAGTGGAAGTCGAAGCTTTCCCCACCCATGACCAGATTCACATAAGGATCACAACGGGTACCAAGAAGGTCGTGCACGCGCCCTCCGA